GAGGTGGGCAGGGCCCTTTAAAAAGGGAACACAGTGAATATGCGCAGGAGGTGCTCTTAGTGGCTGCAGCTGAGGGCATATCCTGTCAGAACCCCAAGAACAAGGCACTATACTGAATACTAACACCACCATCTCTGAAGGTGGGCAGGGGGTGGGGTAATGTGTAAATGACCTCCTAAGGGTCAGGCTGCTGGGGTTTTGAGCCCTGGACCTGTTCCAGCTCTCTAGCCCAGGTCCGTTGGTGAGCGCTTTCCTCTTCCTTAATGAACTTCCTCCCTGCCACCATGTACATCCCGGCCAATTCTCCCAGGATACAAGAACCTGGAAATCTTAGTGAATATCCTCTGTACCCACACAGGACAGAGTAAGAGACCAGGTCCTCCTTGGGAAGTTTGGTTCACACTGTTTATTCTTCTGGTCTCAGACCCCCGACCTCTAAAATGGAAATGGCCTCTGCTCTCACATCAGATCTAACTTGCAGGCATGGACCTCTCAGGAAAGCAGGGTCAGAGAAGTGAAGCCATTGCTAGAGCCACACAGCAGGCCAGAGGCAGATTCCTGGTGCATCGCCATCCTTCCCTTGGGGCCTTGGAGGAGGCTTAGACTGCAGCTGCTACCCGCTTACCCACCTGATTGAGTCTCTGCTGCCTTCTCAGCAGCTCCTGCTTGAAAGGGCACTGAAGGCGCTTAGCCTCCAGCTCCTCCTCCTTCTTCTTGATCAGCTGATTCCGGCGTCGGTGCTCCAGGACTCGCTGCAGCTCAGGTTTGCTGTCCACCCCCAGGCCCCTGGAGAGGCAGGGAGCTATCAGGAGACTCCCTTTCCCACCTTCCCAGTCTGGGCGGGCAGTTTGCGGGGATGCCAAGCCGCCATTGTCTCCTACAGTGCTTGGGCAACACTGGAGGGGGTGCCCTCACTGTCCCACGCTACAGAGAAAGGCAAAGAGCCACTGCCTTCAGAACAGCAAGGCAGGTTGTGGCTGCAACAGGAGAATTTCAGCCCAGGCCACAGAGACCAGGTGACATGTGGTTGCTTTATATTTTACGAGAGCTTCTGAAGATGGAAATGATGGGCTGGGCTCTCTTGAATTCTCCCAGGAGTTAATTTCCTTACAAGGACATCTATTTATTCCCATTCTCCAAGTCAACTTTTTTTTTCAAAGTCTAGGAGACAAGAAACAACGCCTGGTTTTCATGTTTCCTTGATTATCAGTCACATGTAATAATCTTTAAAATGTTTCTAGCATTTGCATTTGTCCTTTTGCAAATTAATTATTATTTTTTTCCTTGTAGACTAAGGCACATGAATATATTAATATTTATATTATATGTGTAATTTTCAATATAACTTATTTATATTGCAGATATTTCAGGTTGTTTGAAGCTATTTTTCATTGTGGTGGTATTTTTGATGCGTTTAAATGAATGAACACTACAAAAACAACTTAGAACATGATAATGTTCCAATATTAAGTGAACACAAACCCATAAACAGCCCACAGTGTAAGGGGTTGTAAGTTGGTCTCAGAATGGAAATCATAACCAGCTCTAATACAACTGGTCAGCAGAGGGCAGTACGACTACCTTCAGCCTGGGCCGTGTGCGCAGAATCCTCACAGTGGCTCCTCAACTACCCTCTCCTACACTTGACACCCTGTGATTGCTGATTGCAGACATGCAGTTGCCCAGATTCCCCCTCGGCAATTCCGTATCACTGCTGTCCTCTTGCCCAATAGGGGAACATGGCTGTGAGAGAACCTTCACTGCCTGATACCGCAGCAGCATCTGTGTGCTCCCTAATTCTCTCTGCTGACTCAGCCCATCTCCCACCAGGGCGGCTCCCGTCCCTGCTTTAGGCCATTCAGGAATCATCTCTTCCATGAATTCGTTTAGACAGCCCCACACGCCCAGTGCCTCCTCTGGGGTCCCACATGCCTCTAAAGCCTCCACCAAGGCACACACTGTCCTGCCTGAAATTCTTCCGTTCTCCTCTGGGAGGGCAGGAACTGGGCTTCCTTTTGTATCCTAGCTGAGGACATGGTGCCCTTCACACAACAGGTGTTGAGTAAGTTTGTTGCATCTGTGGCATCCAAGCATGCATGCAGCAAGTGACAGGGAGAGAGGATGTGGCTTTCAGGGTCTCCCAGTTTTGTTTTCTGGTAACCCTGTAGGACTCCAGAGAATGGCCAGGCCAACCTCCCGAGGGAGCATTTCTCTAAGCACAACAGGTCTGTGCAGGGTATCACTGGGCCAGGCAACTGGGTGCCATTTACCTTCTGTGGTTCATGAGCAGCTCCCGGTGTAGCTCCTGGTGACTTCTGGAGGCCTTCACAGGGTTCAGCAGCTTTTTGGGTTTGATGAGCTCTGGATTCCAATCTCTATATTCTGGGCGAGCCATGAGTCCCCCAATGTCTACTCTCTCCCTCTGGATCTCCGAGTACATTGATGCTGCAGTGATAGGTAATTAAGTTACTTCAAGGTTGTCCACAGTCCTACCCACTCCTTGGGGGTACAGCTTAGTGGGGGATTCTCTTACATGGACCTTGGCTTCTATGCAACTTGGGTAGGCTATCTGGCCATCTGACTCTTGCTTTCTGCCTCTCTGTTGTGGGAAACACCTGCGTTGAATGGTTGTAGTGACTACTGGAAATGATGTTTGTAAAGTATGTGGGGTAGAGAAATAAAATGACACCAAGGCTCAAAATATGGGCTGTCATGGGACTGGAGAGGTGGTTCATTTTGGAAAGTGTTTGCCTTGCAAGCATAAGGACCTGAATTAGATTCCCAGCACCCGTGGAAAAAGTGTGGCATGATGCTGCGTGCTTGGAATTCCAGCACTGTGAGGTAGAGACAGGTTAATCCCTCAAGCTCACTGGCTAGCCTATTGATCCTAATGAGTGAGCTCCATGTCCCAGTGAGAGACCCTGTTTCAAGATGCAAGGCAGAGCCTGAGGAATGACATCTGAGGATGACCTCTGGCCTCCACATGTATATGTACACATGCACATCTGCATATACATACACACCAAAGAGCATATATATGGCTTCTCACTGACTGTGCTGATAGTTTTATGTTAACCCGATACAAACTAGAGTTATCTGAGATGGGGAAAACCTCGATTGAGAAAATCTCTCCATAAGACCTAGTTGTAGGCAAGCCATACAATGAGTGTGGGAGGTCCTAGACCATGGTGGGCAGGGCCATCCCTGGGCTGATGGTTCTGGGTGCTATAAGAAAGCAGGCTGAGCAAGCCATGGGGAGCAAGCCAGTGAGCGGCACCCTCCATGGCTTCTGCATCAGCTCCTATCTCTAGGTTCCTACCTTGTTTGAGCTCCTGTCCTGACTTCCTTCGATAATAAACAGTGCTGTGGATGTGTCAAGCAAATAAACCCTTTCCTCCCCAAGTTGTTTTAGGTCATGGTGTTTCATCACAGAAATAGTAACCCTGACTAGGACACTGACAGAAGAAAAAAATTCTCCAAAGAAAAAGGATTATGTTTGAGTCTCTGCTTTTCAACAAGCTTGTACTAGAAAAGAAAAAGGCATAAAGGTGTGAGTGTGTATGTGTGTGTATCTGTAGCTGTTGACAATTTAGATAAATGCCATGGTAAAAACAAGACATCATTCCTTATTGCCACACTCCCTAGCCATAGTTGCCAAGTTGCTGGTAGGATGCAGCTTTCCCCCTTTTTCCACACCAGAGAGAAGTATGTGAAATGCATGGGCTGCTGTGTCCCTCTTACAAAGGGATGACAGTCATCTTGTCTGCCAAGCTCATGTGTGTCTGCTCTTCATCCCACTTCTACCAGAGGGCTGGAACTTTTCAACATATTTCAGATCTAGGCAGGAAGGCTTCTCTGCCACAGACAGCTTCCCTGTTCTTGAAATGCTTTAGAGAGAGGAGAAGAGGGAGGGGAGGGGAGAGGAGGGCAGGGGAGGGGAGAGGGGAGAGAAGAGGAGTGGAGAAAAGAGAAAGGGAAGGGAGGGGGAGAGGAGGAGAGGAGAGGAGAGTTCTTTAAAAAACAAGTCACAACCCCAGCAACAGAAAAGTATTAACCATCTGAAGGTATTCTGGTGGTAGCCAGGTGAGGTGTCATTATGTAGAAATACCAGCTTTTTAAATTAAAAATATTTTTCATTCAATATATTCTGGTCAGTTTCCCCCTTCCCATCTCCTCCTGTCTCCTCCCACCTACCCATCTACCCAACTCCATGCCTTCTTTCTCTTGCTTTTGTTGGGGGCACAGAAGTCCTTGTGCACTAAGGGAACAAGGAATGCTAATCACACAGGGGTGTCTCCTCAATGGAGGAGAAAAAAAATCAAATACCTGTGTTCCATCCAGAAGACTGGGAGTGGATTTTGTTAAGGACATAGTGACCTTTTTATGCATCTGTGGAGGCAGACCTCACCCACCCTCTGCTATAGAGGCAGACCTCACCCACCCTCTGCTATAGAGGTAGACCTCACCCACCCTCTGATATAGAGACAGACCTCACCCACCCTCTGCTATAGAGGCAGACCTCGCCCACCCTCTGCTATAGAGGTAGACCTCATCCACCTTCTGCTATAGAGGCAGACCTCACCCTCTGCTGTAGAGGCAGACCTCATCCAAATCCCCAGAATAATTATCCCAGACTCTTTCCTCCGTAGACCATTACCCATCCTTAGGGAAGACGTCACAAGTACTTTACAGCCTGCTGACCTTTATTAGACCACATTAGATTCTAGGCCTATTAGCCATAGAACCCACCCTCATGGTCGCATGTACTTTGTAAAGGAGTCTTTTATGTAATCACACCTTAAACTTTATTGTGTGGCTGGAGTGGGAATGATTGGATGAATTGGTCCCCAGAAACCTTTTCCCAAATGGTACTGTTTTAAATATGCCGACAGTGAACCGCCTGACATTAGACTGCCCTGGGCTGAAGAAGTCAATCTACAACAGGTTTTCATTCTTATCCCTTTGTATGGTTTGCTTCCCTCTATGACACCTGCAGGAACCCCCTCATCTCTTCAAAAAACAAAAACAAAAAAACAAATGGCACATTTTTTAAAAATCTGAATAAAAACCAAAAGAAGCACAAGAAACACACACACACACACACACACACACACACACCAAAACTCAAAAACACAAAATGAGAAACCACTATATACAAGCAGAACACCAGTAAGATATGAAAAGTGTACAAATAAAGCAATCAGTACAAGACAAAAAAGTCTACAGCAATACTGCTGAATTAATTTTCTGATGGCCTTCTACTGCTGGGTGTGGGGCCTCCATTAAGTGTGGTTCACATATCCAGTGAGACTCCATATTTTATATGAATTGTTCTTTTGCAAGCAGTTGTCAGCTGGACATAGCTTTTTGATTAAGGATGAGAGCTTTTGTGCACTTCCCCTCTCAATCCTGGGACCCCCCCGCATCTAGCCTACACCTGTGCAGGCCCTATGCCATCTGTTTTTTTAAATTGAATTAGCATTTTCAGAAGCAATTTTTTTGAGACAGAGTTTCTCTGTGTAGCTCTGGCTGTCGTGGAACTTACTTTCTAGACCTGGCTGGTCTTGAGCTCACAGAGATCCACCTGCCTCTGCCTCCCTGCTGGGATAAAAGGCGTTGTGCCACCATGCCTGGCTTGGAAACATCTCTGAATAATTATTTACTTTCTCTGTATCTTTCTTATAAGGCAATTTGTTTTCATCTTATATTCTAATTTTTTGGTTCTTAAAAAGAATGGTCATGATGCACCTCAGTTATTTATTCACTTTTGAGATAGGACCTCATGTAGCCCAGGCTAGTGTCAAAATTTTGCTGTAGCCAAGAATGACCTTGAACTTGTCACCCACTGGTTCCAGCCTGTGTCACCATGCCTGGTTTTAAGCAGTGCTAGGAATCAGACCCAGGACCTTATGTGTGCCAGACGAGTACTCTACCTTCTGAGCTACACCCTAGCACCTCTAGTTACTTCAAAAGGGAATTTTAGAAAGCAACCACCTCCCTCCCTGCTCACCAAGGGGTCATAATTTTTAGCTGATGGGCTCATCTGTTCTTGATTCAAATTAGAGCTTTAAGATCCCTGTTGGATATCCACTCTATTACTGATTTCTCCAGTCTTTAATTCTCTGTAGAACTGTCCAAGTCCCCAGCTCCCAGCTGCCACCACACCACACTCCAGCATTTCCCTCCACTCCCTGGCCATCCTCTCTGACGCTCTCTCTTTGTGTCCCAACCCTCCCAGTGCAGAGAGCTTCTTATTGGCTATGATGTCTTACCAAGAGCTAACTGTATATCGCCAGCATGGTGTGACAGTAAAATGGAACTTTTGGAAATGTATGTAACAATATTTAAAATAAAATATTATGATTATTTAATAATAATATTTTAAAAAGACATAATTATAGCCAGGCAGTGGTGGCACACACCTTTATTCCCAGCAGAGGCAGGTGAATCGCTGCTGTGAGTTTGAGGCCAGCCTGGTCTACAAAATGTGTTCCAGAACAGCCAGAACTGTTACACAAGGAAATCCTGTCTCAAAAAGAAAGAGGAGGAGGAGGAGGAGGGGGAGGAGGAGAGGTCAAGTGGGACACCTCAGGTAGAAATCTGGGGTCACTCCAAAAAAACTACTGGTGTTCTGGGCAGTCCAACACCATTGGGGATATGGCCATGATGAGGCAAAGAAGTGGACATCAGACAGGTCAGCTCAGAAAGAAGAGGAGCTTGCAGGGGAGAGGAAAGGCTGCTGAGGAGGAGGAGGAGGAGGAGGAGGAGGAGGAGGAGGAGGAGGAGGAGAAGAAGAAGAAGAAGAAGAAGAAGAAGAAGAAGAAGAAGAAGAAGAAGAAGAAGAAGAAGAAGAAGAAGAAGAAGAAAAGAGGCATGCCTGTATACTCAGGAAAACAATAGGAGAGAAATTAACATAAAATAAATAAACATAATTGAGAGCCTTGCACAAACAACTCTAATGGCCATTGAGAAAGTATAGACTAATGTACATCATACATTCTGCCCATGTTTGCATTCCTGTCATTTACTGGCCAAGTATTGTGGTAACACTAGGTACATAGTGGGGAACTAAGCAAGTGGGGGGCCCTGCTCTAAAGATTACAGTGAGGCCAGCTTCACCCAGGTTTTGGGGAAGGCCTGGTGAAGAGGTGGGGCTCAACTGAGTGTTTTGAGTGAAGGGGAAGCTGCTCCAGGCCCGGGACACAGCTGTCTAGCTCCCACACCTTGAACAAGCTGGGTCTGTTCTGGGAACACAAAGGCACAGTGTGCCCTGAGTGGCAAGATCTAATGGCAAAGTGTTGGAAATGAGGGTGGACAGTTGGCTTCAGGTCCGGTAAAGGGCGAGGCAGAGTAGATGTCTAAAATGTCATGCTGGCTGCCATGTAGGGGAAATGGTCAGCAGGCTGTAGAAAGTTTTATTTCCTTCACCTTCCGTGGGCTGCTTCTGTTTGCTTGTTACTCTCCCGTTACATTCCAGAGAAATTTTGGCTTGGCCTGACTGTCCAACGTTAGCCCCAGGCCACCCCCTCAGTCTTGGTTTCCAGGCTCACTCTGGGAAGACAAGCCTTGTCTGGCTTAATCTTCCATTGTCACTGTCTTGAAATACCTCATACATGTTGGAAAGTAACCCTTCATTTTGTGCTGGGCCCTGAAGATGGTGGCCACCTCACACCCCAGGTCCATCAGTGGCCAACTCTGACTTAAGGATCTCTCTGGGCCCTCCACTCTTTTTAAATTAAATCTATGGTGTGTGATAAAGGGCAGCTATAACTCAGGAAGGTGCTGAAATCCAGTAGAAGTGTGTGTGTGTGTGTGTGTGTGTGTGTGTGTGTGTGTGTGTGTAGGTGTGTACAGAATGAGGAAGGAAGGGCTCATGGGAGTCCTTAGGGTTTAGGAACTTCACCGTGAGGCTTCTAGCCTTTTAATTTGATAGACGAGGCTTCTGTGTGGAAAACTTTGTGCAGGTCCTCTCATGGAAGAGAGTGCTCACTGGAGGCCTTGGATCTGTGTGGTCACACCCTGCCTCACTACAGGTGGCAGCCCTGTTGCTGTCAGGAGTCCTCTAGTCTTGGTATTTGACAAGGTACTATATAACTTCAAAGAAGAAGAAAATCTGGATTATCCTGGAGGTCAAGTGGGACACCTCAGGTAGAAATCTGGGGTCACTCCAAAAAAACTACTGGTGTTCTGGGCAGTCCAACACCATTGGGGATATGGCCATGATGAGGCAAAGAAGTGGACATCAGACAGGTCAGCTCAGAAAGAAGAGGAGCTTGCAGGGGAGAGGAAAGGCTGCTGAAGGAGGAGTCATGTGACTGATATCCTTAAAGGAGACATACAAGTATGTCTGTCCCCAAGCCACTGCAGATCTCTGTACAGGAGGCTGATGATGCTCACAAGTCTCTTGGCAAATGGCTACCTCCCAGTTGAAGGCTTTTGAAGGCTTCGTGCTGGTTCCCAGGGCTTCCAAAGACAGTTAAGCAGATTGTGAGTTGACCTCTCAGGCCTCAACTCCCATAGATTCAACCAGGAGTAGTAGCCTAGAATCGCAGTGTGACCACCTTATTAGCTTTGATGACTGTTAAATACATCCCCTTCCTAGCCTGAGGTCTCTTATTTTCTTAAAAAAAGAAGATGGTTGAGGGACATCTAGGTTGCTTCCACATTCTGGCTATTACAAATAATGCTGCCATGAACATAGTTGAACATATGTCCTTGTTGTATGAAAGTGCATCTTTTGGGTATATGCCCGAGAGTGGACTTGCTGGATCTTGAGGTAGACTGATTTCCATTTTCCTGAGAAACCCAAGCAGGGGAAGAATAGATGAGAGCAAGAAAAGAGATACCTTAATAGAGGGAGCCAGGTTTAAAGAGAAATCTGGCACTAGGGAAATGTTCAGAGATCCACAAAGATGACCCCAACTAAAAATCTAGGCAGTAGTGGAGAGGTCAACTTTGATGCCCTTCCCCTATAATGAGACTGATGACTACCTTAATTACCATCCTACAGCCTTCATCCAGTAGCTGATAGAAACAGAAACAGGCACCCACAGCTAGACACTGAGCCATACTTCTGGAATCCAGTTGTAGAGAGGGAGGAGGGATGAGCAAAGGAGTCAAGACAGTGCTGGAGAAACCTACAGAACCAGCTGACCCAACCTAGTGAAAGCACACGGACCCCAGTCATAAAGCTGGGGAACCAGCATTGGACCAAACCAAACCCTCTGAATTTGGGAACCAGTTAGGGACCTGGAAAGTCTATGGGACCTCTGACAGTGGAACCAGTATTTATCCCTTGTGCACAAATGGACTTCGGGAGCCCATTCGCTATGGAGTGATATGAATGATGTGACAGAGTTTGCTGATACCCCATGGAAGGCCTCACCATCCTTAGGGAGTGGGTGGGAGTGGGTTGGGGAGGAGAGGTAAGGGGCATGGGAGGATGGGAGGCAGAGGGAAAGAGGGATTGATATGTAAAATGATTGTAAATTATTAAATTAAAAAAGCAGACAAAAAGCCAGTAGTTAAGTCATTAGAGGGAGAGGGAAGGGGAGAAGGGAGGGAGGAAGAGAGAGGGGAAGGAGGGAGGGAGGGAGACAAGTGACTCTAGCTGGCCTTGGTTGACCAGTCACTGCACACAGGTCTGGTTGAGTGCACATTTCTTAGGTGTCCTCTGCGGAATCGCAGTGTTGGAAAACTGAGGAGCTCCTGCTGTGGGTAGAGGCTCTGCAGTTAGAAGTGTCAGCTGAATGAGTAACTTGTATGTCTCTAAGAGGGCAGATGGTTTTGGAGTAAGCATGGGCCTTGGTCTGTGTCTCATGATTGTCCTGAAGACAACTCATTTTATAGTTGAGGAGGTCAAGGCCCATTATGCCAAGATACATGTTAGGTAGTTAGCAAAGTCAGAATCTTTGGACTTCAAACCTAGTACTCTTTCTATCACGACATGCCCCCCCAAAAGGCATGTTTTTTACTTAATAAAACAGATTTACTTTACTTTTTCCTTGCCTCTCTCTGTGTGCTCAAGAAACCCAATGGAAGAAGCCTGCACTCACGGTACAGGCTGAGCACTGTGCTACACATCTATCCCTGGACCCCCTGAACTCCCAATAAGCTGAGAAGGTGGGTGACCTCTTCTTAGGAGCAGGCCACCAAGCCTCAGAGATTTCATCTGATTCCTCTAGATCAGATAGCCAGTGAATAAAGGAACCAGAACCTGAGCTGAGTTCTGGTGCCCAAACCCAATTTCTGTGCTCTTCTCATTGCATATAGAACCTGGGCTTTTGTCTATCTGTTGACTATTTAGTGCCCCTACACACTTCTATTGTTTAATAATGGATCTAGGAGAGGCTGTAGCAGACATTCGGTTCCTCTCAGTATTTAGAAGCCAACGATCCACCAGGCTGCAGAACTGTAATTAAGAGCCCACTCAATCCCTGTCTCCCGCACCCACTGCATATCCCTGTATCATTCACCCCAGTGAGGCAGAGTCCAGGTACCTAAATTCCAAGGGCTCAGTTGCCAGGACAGCTTGCTGTGGTGCTCCCGCGTCTCTCTCCTTGTCTCCACCTTCTCCTAGAGCAGTCTGACGGCAAGAGACAGAAGAGAGCAGAGCAGTGTCTGGGCTGCGAGCTCCTCTGCAACTCTCAGACTTGGGAGCCCTAAGCAGGTCCCAGGCTGAGGCAGCCACCCCCAAAGGGCGGGCATTAAACTCCCCGAGATGGGAGGCAGTTTTGCATTCCTGTTTATTCTAATATCAATAAAAAGGAACTGTTGCTATAGAAACTGTTATTTCACTTGGTGAGTGGCCATGTCCACAACTCAGAACACCATGTCCAAGCCACCCTGATTGAGAGGCACAAATAAATACCAGTTTTGTCAGATTGGTGAGCAATAAGAATCATGCCAAGCTTTGTTCTGAGCAGCTTCTAGCTACTGTGGAAGAATTTCCCTTTTTTGTATGGGAGGGGATTCCAGCACTTCCCCCAAGGAGCAGGAAACCAGGCTTCCTGCTGCAGCAAGGAATTCTTTAGAACAGGGCTCTTGCAGTGCTCTCAGTGAGAGAACTATACCATGAGTCAGTTCTTGGTTATCTTCCAGGCACAGGTGTAAGTAACATTAAGGCATGAAGTTGCATCTACAGATGTGTCGAGCTGCATTGGACACACTTGTTAATGGTTTGAAAAATTCACTCATACTGGGTGGTGATGGCTCACACCTTTAATCCCAGCACTTGGGAGACAGAGGCAAAGGCAGGCGGGTCTCTGAGTTCAAGGTCAGCCTGGTCTACAGAGCAAGTCCCATGACAACCAGGCTAAATAGAGAAATCCTGTCTCTAAAAAACAAAACAAACAACAAAATGCATAGAATTAACTTCATACCTGGAACTTCACAGAAGAAACAGTAGGATGTAGGCAGGAGAAGGGCAACTGATGGGGTAGGATCTGAGCCCAAGCCTTTCTATACTTTGACTTCTGTGGCTGGGTGATAACCTCAGTGAGAGGGTGTCCACTAATACATCCTAGGGAGAGAACTGTCCTCTGCTAAGGGCCCCAACACACATGCTTGTGCCTGGCCACAATGAGACTGGATGCAAATAAAAACTGAAGACATGGGTAGAACCCCAAAGCAAATCCACATGCTCATAGTCCAGAGGCCTTCCCTCACCCCTGAACTGGGTTCTGCTTGAGCATTGGGAGTCTTCCTGCTTTTGGCATTATCCTGTGTTTCCCAGTGAGGAGACCAGCTCCTGCCAGTGACCTAGACCTTCATTCCAGTTCACTTTGTCATGAACTTTGGTTATCCAGGAGTAGGGAAGACCAGGGCACATATCACCGGTAAGTAGATGATGCTTTGAGCATGCAGTTCTGGGTCCTTTTTGGCCACAGGATCTGTTCATTTAGCTAACATCTACTGAGTGCATACTCCATTATTGGCATGACTTAAGTGGATATATGATGGGAAGGAGACCGATATTTTGTGTGTGTGTGTGTGTGTGTGTGTGAGAGAGAGAGAGAGAGAGAGAGAGAGAGAGAGAGAGAGAGAGAGAGAGAGAGAGAGAGAGACAGCAGATAAGGAGACACACAAGGAAACATCAATCAGTGATGCACGGCTGAGTGAAGGAAGGGCGGTGACGGAAAGCTTGGGAAGGGCGGGCATGGCAGAGGCTGACTTACAAGAAATTGGCCATTGTTTATGTGGGAGAGGTTTCGAGAGTGAGGACAGCTACTTTCAATGCTCTAGAGTGAGAATGAGCTGGGAATGGCAGAAGAAGGCCAGGAGAACTGCAGTGAGGTAGGAGAGGGGGCCTGGAACGGGGAGGTGTGGGAAGCTACTCCAAGTGCTCTGAAGCCACAGAAACTTAAGAGTTGCACATTCTCAGGCCTGAGACAATGTTCTAGAAACAATGTGTAGTCCTCTATGTTTATTGCACCCAAGTTCTGCCTTTCTTGAAATTCCTAGAATGGTAGCCTCCCCCGGCTTCCCACCCTGCTTGCTACATTTCACTCAGCTCTCCCAGTAGAATAGGGCGACAAGAGTCTCGTCAAGGACTGGGGGTGTAGTTCAGCTGTAGAATGCTTGCCCAGCATGTAGGAAGTCTTATGGTCTGTCTCCAGCACTGCATAAAACTGGGTGTGGTGCCTCATACCTGTAATCCCAGAACTGGGGGAGGCAGAGGCAGAAAGATCAGCAGTTCAACACCATTTTCACCTACATAGCCAGTTCAAGGCCAGCCTGGGCCACAGGAGACTTCATAAAAAGAAAAAAAAAAAGGACTTGTCAACTATTATTGCTACCCTTTCTTCATCTTATTCTGCAGAGAAGGAACTGGGTGTTTCTTAAGGAATTTCAGTGACCCATCAGATCCAGTCCTAGTGCCTTCTGATAACTGAGGATCTGAGGGCCCGTAGGAAGGATGCTGACAATTTCTGCTTGTGTCTGGACTCCCCCTATCAGCCATGGCCACTGTTGGTGCTGTCCACTCCCTAATCTAGAAAGTCCTGGTTGCAGGGCAAGATGATGGATGCCCAAGGACAGTTGGGGAAGAAACCTCAGGGTAGCTGTTATTTCCTCTGTGTGACCAGAACTCTGTGCACTTGCATCTAAGGCTTTTGTCATAGCCTAACTTGGTGCAGACACTAGGCTGGCTGCTCAACATCGGGGCCTTCCCTTATCGTCATGATTTCTGCCCCAATACTGAGATGCTTGCTATGGGTTAGACATGAAGTATTCCCCACAAAAGCTAAAGTGCTGAAGGCATAGTCTCCAGGCAACTAGGCTATGATGACCTTACCTTCATCAATAGATCAGTCACTGGCGGCTTTACAGTTGAACAGGCTATCAGAGGAAGGAAGTAGGTCTCTGGGATGGGGTGACATTGGGTACATCTTATCCCTGTCCCCTACCCCTGGACATCATAAGGTAAGCAGTGGTCTTCCACCATGTTTCTGCTTGTCATGGCCTTAAAAGCAATAAATAGAAGCAGCCGACCATGATTGCAATCACTGAGACCATGAACTAGGTTAAACATTTTCTCTTTTTACATTAATTTTCTGGGTATTTTGTCATTGTATTTAAAATAGTGCTTCAAAAATTATAGCTGACATGAAGACATGCAAAGTATCAACACCAAGAGCTTGCTGTAGCTGCTCCTGTCTTGTGTGAGCGCTCATGGCATTGCACAGGAGATGGGCAGTCAGAGGCACCACTGTTCAAACCACAACTATCAATAAGAGAGACTGCAGCACCTTCTGATGGGTGTAGTCAACCAGCATATCATATCAACCTGAAAAGGATGTGCCTGCATTGTAGGGGGGAAACCATACCTAGTATGATTCCCCCTTCCTTAAAAAAAATAAGTGCATACATAGAGAACCCATTTCTGTGTAAACAAGTTTGTCAGCAGGGGTCAGTTCTAAGGGAGTGAATCTCAACGTCACTGCTAGGTATTGCTAGATAGGAAAGAGAGAAGGCTAGGGACATGCTCATAGAACTTCTGATGGGACCTAGACAAGGAAATGTGTGTGTGTGTGTGTGTGTGGTGTGTGTGTTTCTGTGCCTCAAAAGCTGGACCTTCGGAATGCTAGATCTATCACTGAGGCCCTCGCCCAGCCCAGTATTATAGATTTAGCATACTCCCCTTGGGGAATCCTTTGCATTAAAGCTTGAGAACTACTGTTTGATACAATGCAGTTATAAGCCCGTATCTTTTGTTACTGTTCTGTAATGTCTGTGGCTTAAAAACAGCAAACCCATCCATCCATTCATTGCTTTTGTCAGAGAAAAGCAGTATGAGAAGTACGAGAGGAAGCTCTAAAGACAAGGGAAGGCACCTTGATGAGGGTGGAGGCATTTCTTGCTGTAGTGCACGGAAACCCTCCACAAACAGCTCTCCTTTTATTTCAGCTTAGTTGTCTTCAGCTCAGTAGCACCAAAGGCAATTCAGATGGGCCCACAAATGTCGGAGAAGTTTCTGTAGCAACTGGAAACGTCTTCCTTGACCCTGTGTTTTGGAGTCTCAGTTTCCAAAGAAGCCCACAAAATAGTCCTAGGATCAAACTGGCCACCTCTCTGGCCACTCCAAACACGTTCTGCTGAAAGGACGGGGCAGCAGGGTGGGGTGGGGGTGGACTGGGGGTGGGAGAATGGCGCCTGCTGGGGAAGAAGCTTACTGGCAGTAGGGCTTGCTAAGAGACTCACAGAGAGATTGCAAACGGGTGAAGGGTTGCCTTTCCAAGTTTGAACTGGGAAACATTTACCCCGGGGGAAGGGATTTCAAGCGTGAAGACAGGAAGTGGGGCAGGGTAGCAAGAACCAAGAGTTCTTTTTCCAAAAGCTGGCTCTAAACCCATTGCCATTGGCATGGTGAATTTGGTCTCTAAGTGATCTTACCCCTATTTTTTTTTTCCTTGCAGTGAGACAAACCAGGATATATTTATTCTCTTGTTCCCTCTCTTTCCCCTGCCTCCTATGTGTATGTATGTGTGATGGGCAGATCATAGTAAGCCGGTCTAACTTCAGAAAGCCCATGGTTGCAGGCCTGGGGGAAGGGCAGAGGAAAGCAGCCCTCCTAGAAGAATTTAATTCAGATAAACAATGGATTTTATTTTATTTTTGTTTAAGCACATCCATTTTATATTTGGAGGTACTTGCAATAAACTCTTCTTTGTTGTTTATGTGAGGTTCAAATTGCATCAGGGTTCAGGATTTTTTGTTTGTTTGTTATTGTTGTTTTTGTTTTTTTATGTAATATTCCTTGGCAATAGTAGTGGAATGGAGGCTTTACTGCCCTCTGGTGGCTAACCAGGATTATAGACCTGGGGAGGTACCTACTTATCCAGGATGCAGACAGAAGCCTTCCTCCCCACATAAAAGTCTACACGCCTGGTAGACTTTTATGGAGGGACAACAGCTTTCCAGGTATGACTGAGCATGAGTTATATCACTGAGTGAGTTCTTCCAGCCAGGGGGCTATGATATCTCTGCCAACCAAAGCACTAACCCTGGATCTACTTACTGCTCTACAGCTAGGAGACCTTCAACATGCCTTCCTCATGTTGTTTTGAAGAATGGGGGACATAGGCATGGAAACCTCAGCCTCAGAGTTGGGCCACCTGCCTAAGTGATGCTATTATCTTAATACCTCATGTAACAGCATTAAAGTCCCACTGAAGTGAAAAAAACTGGAAATTCATTATGAAACAAATGTAAAGGTAAACTATACCTGGGATAAATTGGAAGGCAACATCCTTAAGTGTAACTAGTGGATGTTTGTAGCTAGTAGGATTATGGCGTAAGCTCTGCCCTCCTGATCTATGGATGCATGCATCACTATATTGCAGAGATGGAAACAATTGTCATTCTTTGTCTAAGTCAGTGATTCTCAGCCTTCCTAATGCTGTGACCTTTAATACAATTTCTCATGTTGTGACCGTAACCATAAAATTATTTCATTCCTACTTCACAACTGTAATTTTTCTAGTTATAAATCATAACATAAATATCTGATATGCAGGATATCTGATATGCAACCCCTGTGGAAGGATCCTTGGAACCCCAAATGGGTCAAGACCCCCAGGTTGAGAACCACGGATCTAAGCATACTTTGGAGAGGTAGCTCTGAGTTTGAAAGTGTTTTCTGCCTCTGGGGAGGGTGAAAACCTCCCTAGCAGACTATGGGCTGCTGTTGTAGCTCTCTGGAACTGTTGTCACCTTATTCACTGAATGGAGAGGATGGTTAATGGGGTGCTGGCAGAGCTGTGAGGATGGAACTAAACATTTAATGTTTCTAGTGTTTACTCTATCAGTAAGCACCCAGTACTCAGGGAGGCCTCTGTCTCCTTCCTGGCTTGTGTGTGGTAGTTAGGGGACAAGCCTGTGACCCAGGAGCTCTGACTTGTCTGCCATATAGATGCACCAAAAGTTGAGAAAGGCAGTTCGCAGCTAGAGAGAAGGCAGGGTCTTTCGGGTTAGGGAATGTTGCCGCCAGCTTCAGGAGAACTGGCACCTCAACAGGGAATGCCAGCTAGGAAGCCCCCAGGAAGCCACTATTGGTTCTGAAACCTTGGCCAGTTATTGTTTGGGGACTTGAGGGAACCCGTGTTCAAATGTTCACAACCAATAACTAGGCGGCAATATCTCAGGTGGCAGGGGCGGGGAGTGGGGGGTGGGGGGTTGGACTGCAACACTGACCCCCAAGTTCTAGGTGGACTCAGTTGGTAGGCTGGCTGAGACGGACTCCTTGTAGAAGGCAGCTGACCAGGGAGCCAAATCCGTTGACAATTTCAAATCACTTTTACCTTTCCCCAAACTCCCGCCCTGAGTTCAACTCCAGAAGGAAAAACCCTAAGCCCTCATCAAGGACATTTTCTCCCTTTTTTCTGTATCCCAAAGTTTTCCCAGTTTATTTTTATGCTGACCATATATTCATTTATTTTATTATTTAGATAAAAGGCCTTTAAAGTTTCCTGAGTAGAAAATACAGTGCTTATCAGCACATAAGCAAACAGAAAGTTTAAAGATGAACACATGTCATCAACCACATCCACAAAATCCAAAAGGCCACCATATGTCTCCTTCCCCATTTTTTTTTGCACGCCTACGTTTAGCAAATGGCTTCTGAGCTGCCTGGTCCATGCTGTCCCCTTATCATGGGCAACCATGGTGACCAAGGCTGAGGGCTTTCTTCCTCCGTGGAATTCCTGCTTTACTGTCAGACCTCCCTCCCTCTCTGGCTGCCTGTGCGCGCTCTTGGGAACACTGCCAGGCACCAACCCCGACGGGGACCTCGCGGAACCTCTGCAGGCAGGATGTGGGGCGTAAGTACGAGTTTGCATTTGTGATGCTCGTGTGTTTCCACACCCAGGATGAGGGCAATGGATGGAAGGAAAAAATGAGAAAACAGTAAAGGAAGGACAGAGCAAGGAGTGATGGAGAAACGTCGAAGCTTCGAGTTGATGGGAAGGAAGAAACCTGGGCACCAAGAAAGGAAGGACCAGGGGCCCTGCAGCCTGCAGAGGGTGGTCCCGGTGGCTGCATGGTTTCCACTTACCCGACCTGAGCAGCATTGCCCGGTACAGCCCGGTGGCTTCGGCCGGCGCTTTGCCCCACTCGCCCAGTTTCTGCGCCATGCCTTCAGCTGAGTGTCCGGACCCGGGAGCCTGGACTAGGAGCCTGGGAAGTGGCTCAGTGATAGTGACACGCCCTGCTGCTCCACCCGCCCAGGGATCTGGTTACTGTAGGCGTAGGCGTAGGCTTAGGAGACACTGAGGTGGTGTAAGAGGCCAGGGCACAGGCAATCTCTGTGCCTGGAGCAGTCAGGGAGCAGCGGGCGTCCGGACACCGTTGCAGCATCACATGGAGCACCGCCGACTTCCTTCCAGCCTGGCCTCTTGCCCGCTTGGCCCAGTTCTTGGCCACTGGCCTCTGTGAAGGCTGCAAGCAGGTATGGGATTCGCAAGCGTCATTCCTGGGATTCATTCCCAGCCAGGCTGGTGAAGAGAAGAAAGTCAGGGTCCTCATCCGAGATGAGTGGAGAGCCATAGTCTTTCACCCACAGGGTTATTAAGGTGAGATTTGGTACAAAGTGCTACGAACCCAACAGTTTGGAGTAAACACTATGCACGCGTACTTTTGACTTGTGGTTTGAGGATGTTGCTCAGTTTGTAGGATGCTTGAACGAAGCCTGGGGTTCATGACACAGCGGGGCATAAAACCCGGGATGGTGGTGCACACCTGTAATCCTAGAGTTTAGGAAGCGGAAATAGGAGGATCAGAAATTCATGGTCATCCTCAGCTACATAGCTAGTTTGAGACCAGACTGGGCTATGTGAGAGCTGTCTCAAAACACAAGCACATAAACAAACACACGGCAAAGATTCGGAAGAGGTAGTGTCTTTGCTGGGGTAGAAAAAAGCTGAAGGGGAAAGTAGGTAGGACGCCACAAGAATGATTTCCCACCAGGCAGTTGTGGAATTTGCAGATATCCATAGCTTTGGTTACCTGCTCTGCCTGCCCTGGGCTACAGCGCTCTAAACCAAGAGAATATAAATTATGCACTCTTTGTGTTCTAGCTCATTTAGTCTTTACAAAGCTGAGTCTCTTAGCATTTTCCTTTTACAAAGGAGAGGAAACAGAAGCCCAGAGAGGCTAATCTACTCTCTGAAGTCACTCAGCATGGAGCTAGGACACAACTTCAGATGGTCTGACCCCAGACGCTGATTCTTCTCCACTGCCTCTGTTATTGAAGTCACGCTTCAAGGCGGTCCTAAAGGCTGAGTCTTACCTCCAGTGTAGAGATGGAGTCACCGAGACTTGGCAGGTGAAATGACTTGGCCACACTTACACACTTAGAATTCAGCCAGTTGTGGATCCATGAAATTTGTATCTGAAAACATGGCCACTGTCTAGGACATTGGACAGTTCTAGGCTCTGCCTGAGTGGGCCAAGAGATGATAGCCCCCTTCATGCCGTCTACCGTCCTGCCTTCTTGTTCACCTGCCGGCTGTAATCTCTTTGGTTGGCCCACAGTTACTGCCCAGACCCAGCTTGTGTACCAGAGGCCTTGGTATTCTGCTGTTCAGACACCATCCAGTGTCCCAGGGTACGTCGGACACACTTCAGACATCTTTCAGGATCTCAAGGTGACCCTGACCTTCAGGAGCCTCACTGATTGGCCTAGCTGAACATGTTTGTCATCAGCGCCCAGATGTCAGCATCAGGCATGACTTGACTGTCATAGCCTTTCTTCAGAGGACGGGAACGATAGACAGCTTACAGTTCATCTCATTGGACCCACTCGGTGGCTCACTGACCCAGCTGTGCTTCTGAGCATAGGCTCAAGGGACTTGTTTACTATCGCTTCACTGGTCAATAGCAGAGTTGGGATCTAGACGGCCCTACAACTTACTGCCATGGATAGAGCAAGGCACTTATTGAGTAGAGAGGGATTAAGGAAAAGGGTAGCTGAGGCATATGCCTTTGATGAGTGTGTGGAAAATGACTCTGGTTGGGCCCTGGTAAACTGCATGTGGGCCAGACTCACCTACTCCATTTAGTTTATATATGTCATTTCTACCATGGGATCTGGCCCAACGAGAATATTCTGTCAACAGATAGAAAGACGGAGTAAGGAGGTGATTGGTTCTTCTAGGAAGGTGAGGGACGATGACATTTTCATAAAATCACTGAACTGTGGGTAGGGGACATGACTCAGATTGTAAAGTTCTTGGTACATAAGCATGAAGACCTGAGTTTGGATTCCCAGAACCCATGTAAATCTGGGTGTAATGACATACATTAGAGACAGATTTGTAGGTCCTTTTAGCCAGTCAGTCTAGTTGAGTCAGTGGGCTCCAGGTTCAGTGAGATCCCTGAGATAGTTCACTTGGTAAAGATGCTTGTAGCCAAGACTGATTACTTAAGTTTGATCCCAGGGACCCACATGAGGGAAGGAGATAACCAACTCCTACAAGTTGTCTTCTGACCTTTGTACACGCCATTCAGCTGGCCACCTCGAGGACTGGTCAGGGCGAAAGTTTTCCCTAGGGAAATCACTGTGTGTTTTTTTTAATGTGCGTGTATTTATAAGACTTATAAAGAGTTATTTTATTTAAAGCTTTAAAGAGTTATTTTATTTTCACTTATGTGCATGCGTGCAAGTGTGTGTATGTGTGTGTGTGTGTGTGCCTGTGGAGGCCAGAAGAGGGGGCCAGATTCCCTGGAGTTATAGGCCAGTGTGAGCCATCCTATGTGAGTGGTGGGAACTAAAAACTGGTCCCCTGCAGGAACAAGTATTGTCAACCCAAGTCATCTCCCCAAGGCCTATTTATGCTCCTTAAAAAAAAAGTATTAGATTTCATCTGCTGTGACAAAGCACCCAAGGCAAGCAATTTAAAGGAGGGAGAGTTAATTTTGGCTTCAGAGGTACAATCTACAGTCCTTTGGCACCACCTTACTTGGTAAGGCAGAGTATCCCAGGAGGAGGTACAAAGCTTAGCCTCATGGTCATCAGGAAGCAGAAAAGAATAGAGGGACCAGTGATGAGTTACAGCACCCAAGGGTACATCCCCAATGAACCACCTCCTCCAATGCTTTTCACCTTCCTCTTTTCAATAATGCCACCAAATCATGAATCCATCAGTAGATTAATCCACCCATGGAGTCTGAGTCCTCATGATCTAGTCACTTCCCCAAAGTCTCACCTCTGAACGTTACCATTGTGACCAAGCTTTTGACACAGAGCTTTTGCAGGGATTTATGGGGACACTTCATAGCCAAACTAGAACAATCGATTTCCTTCCCTTTCTTTTCTTTTTTTAAATAACAGTTCTAGGTTTAGAAGCAAGTTAAGAAGATAGCACAAAGAGTTTCTTGTATTCCATATCAAGTGTCCCCTGTCTTTAACATCATAATATATACAGGACTGGCAAGATGACTCAGCAGGCAACGGCACTCGAAGCTGGAATGAAGACCTGAGATCAATCCCTGGGACAATCATGCTATGGCATGCCTACCCCCCCACAAATAAATGAACGTGTAGTCAAATGTGTGTAGATGAGTGTATGTGCCACAGTAGGTTTCTTGGAATGAATGAACAGTTTTGCTAACTAAAGTTCTGTGCTTTTTAGTTAATGCCCTTCTCAGTCCCAGGACCCCCTCTCCAGGATACTATATATAGTGTGGTCCCCTAGGCTCCCCTTGGCTGTGACCTTCACAGTTTTGAAAGTTACTGGAGACCCGTGTTTTCCTGTGCTTACACACTGGGTAATCACACAGACAAAACAAGAGAGGCCTTCCTGCTCCTAGGGGGGCAGTGCTGGAGTAGATAGAAGGGCTGGGGTCCCCAGGGGCCTCCCATTTTGAATATTGCCACCAAGGAGGACAGAGAAGAGGGACAGTGTTTGGAGAATAGACAGGCTGCTTTTTGTCTGCCTTCACAAAAGGCTTGAGGGCACAAGTAACGTCATCTGTGGAAGGAAATTCTGGGACATAGAAAAAGAACCTGCTCCAGAGAGTTGGAAAGATACCCAAAGCCTTCTCCTGTGTCTCTCCACACAGAGCCGGGAAGCAGGCTGGGGCTCACACGTAGCCTTAGTATTACAAAGACAGTGCAGCTCCCAGACCTGAGTTTTAAAAAATGCCCTAGAATACCTGCCAAACTTTTAAAATGGAGGGTCTATCAGGAATGAGGTGAACCTGTACCCATGGAGCAAGGTTGTAAGGGTTGGGATGCCCTTTACTTCACAGGCACCGACAAAGCAAGGTTTCTCAGAAATGCTATCTGGGTCTTTGCTGATGCAGTCATGGAAACTCATTGCCTTCTTCCACAATTGTGCCAATTAATGCAGTCAACTTTCCTTCACTCAAACATTAACCATGGGCAGATTGGTGTGTGTCAGTTGCATCCATGATGGTCAGAGGCAGTGCGTTGACCAGGCATGCAAAATATCCAAACACTGCTGACCTCAGCTCTGCCTTGGCTAAAGGAGGATGTTTGCACCCCTCCTATACCTCGTGAGGCCACACCTGCTTCCTTTCCATGCTCTGATGACTGAGAAACTCTAGGGGCTCATGGCTGGTGACCTTAATGGTCCTTTCCTCCAAAGTCCCCCCTTCCACTCTGTTACATCATGTTTCCTGAGAGGCTAATGTCTCAGCATGACAATGTCAAAGACATCAGACAGACACCCAAAATGCATCTCTATAGACTTGCCCCTCAGCAAGTGACACCCAGGGCAGTCTTGGTTTACCCTTTCTTTGTCTTGTCTTGTCACTTTTGAAACATGGCCTCACGGTACAACCCTGGCTGGCCTGGAATGTCTTTATTGAACTCACAGAGGTCCTCTTGTCCCTGCTTCTGAGTGCTGAGATTAAAGGTGGGTATCACTACATTCAGCATTTTGTTTGCTTTTGAACATTTAAAAATCAAGGTTCAGCATGCACCCACAGAGAAGTTAGTTTTGGGCACCAGCTCAGTGAACTTCTGTGTATGCTCACGCATAACCACTTCCAGGATTGGAATGTAGAGCGGTGCCCTCTGGGCAACACTGTCTGTCTGCTCCAGGATGTACAGCTCTGCCTCTGTACTGTGGTCTGATTCTCTCTGGTTCAGCATTGCACACAGATTTGGATGGGGCTGGGGCTGGACAATCGGTTGGTAGAGTGTTTGCCTAGCATGCAGAGTCTTATCTCCAGCACCGAATGAACTTGGTTTAGTGCATGCCTGTGACCCTGGCACTCGGGAGGCAGGGGCTGGAGGATCAGGTGGCTAAGGTCATCCTCAAGGCCGGCCCTGGCTACAGGAGTTTCTGTCTTTTAAAAAAAGCAGTGTTCTTGTTTCTGTTGGCTTCTTTCTGTCACAATTTGAGTGTGTAGTCGCATTTCTGGTCCATTCCTCTTTGTTGCTGAGTGGCTTCTAGTTTATTTGGTAATTGCTTTGTGGCTTTTGGACAGTACTCAAAATACCTGTGGTGGGTAACCGAGTGCTCACATTGGGCAGGCAGACCAGTTGGTCAGGCTGTGGAGCTGCTGGCCTTTAAGGGAGGAGAGATGTGCCAAGGGCAATTGTAGTCATTTATGGGCCGTGCTTTGACATCTTCACTACATAAATGTTTTTATTCTTTGTTTTTACATTTGAGCATATGTCTGTGCATAAAGTGTTGGATTGCTGGTGAAAAGGAGGTTGCCTTTTCTGTTACTGTGATAAAATATTCTGATACAGGCAACACAGAGGAAGAAGGTTTGCTTCAGCTCATGCTTCCAGATTGTAATATCCATGGCAGGGAGGCTGTGAGGAACAGAAGGTAACAAACACGTACGAGCTCGCTCACACCTCAGATCACACCTCAGCTCATCAGGAAGTAGTGCCACCCACTTTTAGGGTGTTCCCACATCAAGTAATATAACAAGACAGTCCCCCCCCAGACATGCCCACAGGCCGGTCTGATCCAGAAACTGAAATTCTTCCCAGATGATCCTAAACTGTGCAAATTGAGCACCAAAACTCATCACAGAGGCACCAGCAGAATTGCACCTCAGATAAATACAAATGGGTCTCAGTTCTGAACTTGGAGAAGAGGGTAGGACTTTAGGGTGTTGTTTTCCTTGCAGCCTGGAGGGGGCACTATGCCTCTCCATCTTTTTTTTTTTTTTTAACTCTCATTCTTCATTAGACTGTAAACATCAAGAGAACAGAGCCTGAGCTTGCTGAGGGATGGGTCTCCAGTGCTTCACATTGATAATTTAATAACTGTAGCAAACACTAGTGAGCTCAGGCTGGCAGTAGGCTACTGATACATCTTCTTTAGTAAGGCTAAGCCTCAGAACAGTTTTTTGAGGAAGGGGAGTGAGATTCCTGTTTAAGCCCCCAGAAAGGAAGCTAGTCTTTGGACAAGTTGAACATTGTGACGAGATTCAAGATATTTTGACTCAGGACCCCGTCCACTGCCCCACCGGCTGCCCTGTGTGAGAGCATTTGAGTATGGAGGTCAGAGGACAACTTTCTGTTGTTAATTCTGCTTTGTCACCTTGTGTTGAGTCAGGGTCTCCCTTGTTTCTGCCGTGATGTGTCCTTCAGTCTATCTGGTCTGCAAGCTTCTAGGCAATTCTTTTGTTGCTGTCCCATCTCACCCTATGCGTGAGGGGATGACAGATGCACACCTGCACACCGCCACATTGAACTCAAGTTGCCAGGCTTAGGGGGCAAACACCTTTACCCACTGGGCCATCTCACCAGTCCCACGTTAAAACAGACTCTCGGGTTGGCTTGGAACTCACTGTCTTCCTGCCTCCGCTGCCTGTATCTTGAGCTTACAGGAACTCTCCCGTGAGATTAGCTTCCACCTCACTTTCCAGAGAAGGAAACTGAGATGCAGAGAGGTTAAGGAGCGCTTTCCTGCAGTCAGTAAAGCCATTCTTCCCACTAACCTAGTCTTAAAAGCTGATTGTTTTTAACTCAAGAGCCCTGGCGTGCACTCCGAGACACCACTCACTGAGGCCACAGCCACTTGAGTTAGCAGATCCACTTGTGCCTTCTGCCTCAGCATCTTGCCTTCTCTAAGCTGCCCTACTGCGTGAGGACATCTGCCAGTCTTGCTCCTCTTCTCACGAATGAGGACACCAAGCCCAGCAGCCCCACTATGGGAACTGCGGGGGAGTGGGGTGGGGGGGTGGGGGGGGAAGCGAGGAGCAGCTTCCCGGGCACAGGGATTCATCCGGCTGCTCTCGGCTTCAGAGCCTAGGTGCACAGCACAGGAGGAGACCTCCATAGTTCCGGCTCCCAGAGTCTTCTCACTGCTATTTGAAATAGATTCTTACCATGTACCCCAGCCTGGCTTGGAACCCATCTCCTCAGCCTCTCTCTGGAAGCCCAGAAAACTGCCCTGAAGGATCCTAGGCAGAGTCTACCTGCCTGAGCTGAGAGGTTGTGAGCTACCATTCCTTTCCACACTGGGTCTTGGTGATCAGGCTGTTTTAGCCTCTCTAAAGCGTGCAAAGTTGTTACAAGTAATGAGCCGCCCTCTTACTGCGTGGACACCTGGAGCAGCCAGATGCGTACAGACTGTGCCGTTCTGTTTCTCACCTGAACCCCAACTTCCCTGCTCCCCAGCACCAGC